TTTGGATCAATACTAAATATGAGAATGGATGGAGGTCCCAATGAGAATATAGGTGAATGGATGGAGGTTTGGTGGTGATTAGGTAATACCCATCTTAATGATATTCACTTTATGCAATATGGTATGGTCTTTGATCCTTTGGTTTATTTAGTGGGTACTCGGTAGTGTGAAAATATCATTTTGGTCCCATTCACGATAGAATGTGGTGTTCTACTTTGTGTGGTCAGTCCCCGTCCACAAAATAATGTGGACGGGGACAGGCCACACCCCAATTTATCATCCATAGTATTTTCTCATGGATGGGCGACATTATGGTGTTGACAGTTTGTAGGAAGGGTTTAGTGTAAAGCAAGTGCATTAACACTGGTCCAACTACCCTCATTTTATTTAATCATTTAATATAATATAATTTATATTGAAATTATTTTTAAATTGTTTATTGGTGAAGATAATATTATAATAATAAATATATTTATTTTTATATTTATTAGTAATTACATATTGGTGTTTTATTTATCCATTATTATTTCAAATTATTTTTGGCTTAAATTGTGTTTCTTTTCCGTTCATGATTGTATGGGTGCAAATGGATCGGATCATCCAATATGAATCTAATACTATTTTTGTTAGATTTGGATAACCCTTTGTTGGATTTTTGGATCGGATCCAATTGGAATTCAGATCACCCCTATCTGATCTGATTTAACCTATATATGTATATATTAATATTTTCTTATAAAAATACATGCATATATTAATATATTTATTTATAAATATGTTTATATTGCATTTTTGTAAATTTTATTATAAAAAGACATGTATATATATTGATATATATGATGAAAATAAGTGAAAAGATACTTATATTTTCTGTTTTTTCTTTTAATAATTTATTAAAATTTTCATAATTTGAATAGGATTGGATTAGATTAAGATATCTGAAATCCTTAATGGATTCGAATTTGAATCACCATTTCTGAGATCCAATCAAATCTTCTTGGATTGGATTTGGATATACTTTTATTCAAATCTGATTCGATCCATTTGCATCCCTACATGATCGATTGTGTAAATTATCCCACAAGTTAAACATGAGATGTATGGAATCAATAGATGTGGTGTGGACAAATTCACACACCTACAGAATGCCCCTGTGGGTATAGACAGTGTCTATCCACATAGTTTTGTCCATAGCTCAGAATAAGTGTAAGTAGTAGTGTGGTGTGGATTGGTCCCTACCACAGAGTGTGGTGTGGACCAGTCTACACCCACCAGTTTCTCATCCACGTTATTGAACACCCCCCTTAGTGGTATTGGAACCAATGTTTTAAAAACCAATCTAGAGGTTCAACTGCTTAAAAAGGGTTTTTGAAAAAAAATAGTGGACCAAGGCACCTTATGACACATATGCCTTGAAAAGTTATCCAAAAAAAAAAATCAATTTAATTGGACATCCGAGCACAATGTTCTGGTCTATAGAAGTTTGCATACACATTTAGTGTCATTGTCATTGAGTTGAATTAATTAATGGTTTAACTATCTAGGTTGGATGATTTTTGACCAGGCATGGCGTACAAGTGGCTCGTGCTTTTGGCGGGTCAGACCGGGCCATGCTTGCTACCTCTGGAATACTTTAGAGGTTCGGTCTAACACAGCCTATGGCATGGGTCCAAGTAGGCCTGGTCCGGATTGGTCCGCGGGCCAAACCTTGGGCCAGAGCAGTTCATGAAAGGTATATTTAAAAAAATTGAAAAAAATAATGAAAAATTCAAAATAATTGAAAAAAACTAAAAAAATTATTTTATATGTATACATATGTTTATATATGAAATAATAAATTGAAATTAAAAAATTAGAATTGGAATAAAATACTATAATAAAATTGAAAACAATATATATATATTATATTACTATAATTGTTATTACATATACATAATTACACTAAAAACCTAAGCCCATCATGACCCATATCATCATGTCGTGTCGAACCAAAATCATATTGGGCGGCAAGCGGCATGGCCCGATTTATAGCTCTCAAGCCCACATGGCATTTATCCTTCACATTGTTCATTGGAGTCTATGTGGTATCTTCTTATTGTATAAAACCCCAATCATTGTCTATCAAAACTAATGAGAGTGGAGCCATGAGTTCATGCAAATTGCAATGTAGGAGTGAGAGTAGTGATTCGTGATCACAATGAAAATTATTTGTTCTCGAGCGCTGTTCTAGATAGTATGTTCACCCATTGAAGCGAAAGTTCAAGATTGTCAACGTTACCTGCAATTTGGGCTGGAATTCCCTTCAAAATATTGTGATCGAAGGTGATACGCAAAATATGCTATGGTCTGTTTGATTGCTGAGAAAGAATGGGATGAGAAAGGATGAGATGAGAAGGAATGGGATGAGAAAGAAAAATTATTTTTCCAACTTTCAATCCGGTGTTTGGTTGTTGATATCAAATATGTGAAAAAATTAATTTTTGAGTGTTCGTCAGACTGTGGTTCCAGCTCCAGACCAAGCAGAGCACGAGCCAGGTATGCAACAACAACGAGAATGATTTCTAGGAGAAAGTAAATGTGGAGGTAGTAAAGTGCCAGGATGACCTTGGGATGCAGATACGGTCTTTAGTCGTAGGCATGGATCAATAGATCTACAAGTAAACCTTTTGTGGCGTAGTTTAGCAGCGATTTGGTGTCGTTTTTGGTTATATGGAGTGATGGGTTTTGTTTTTTTATTTTGATAGGAAAACAGGCTAATGAGATGAAACAGAAGAGAGAGACGGATGGAACAGAAGCTTAAAGATGCTAAAACTGAGATCCATACCTTATACCTTGATGAAGTTATTGATCTCCCCGCCCATTCTCTCTCTCTCTTACATTCTCTCTCTATGCTACAGGTTCTGATCCCCTCTGGTTTCTTCCTATTACTTCATTAGTTTTCTTTGCTTTTGAGATGGAGCTGGTTAATGGCATTCATGACCGTTGGTTTTGGCATTAGAATGGTGTTTGACGGGAAGCATTTGGGGGTCAGAAACTTGGTTGTCAATTGAAATGGTGGGCGAGTCACGGTGGCCACCAGGAGTCTAGTCCGGTGTTGTTCTTGATGGTTAGGCAATCATTGGTGTTCAGAGAGGAATGTTCAGTTTGGTGTTGTGGTGGCCGTCACAGGGTGTTGAGTTGCGAGTTTTTCTTTTCTCACCGAGGTCTCACCATTTTAGTGAGACCCCACATCCTAGTTTTTGAGAAATGATATCCCATCGTTTCTCGCACTATTCCATCAAACAAATACGGGTTTCAAAGAATTTAACCTGAATATTCCATATTTTTCATCTGCATCGCAACAACCAAACTGTAAAAGACTGTAAAAGAAGGTGATGCACAAAATATCGAGTTCAAAATCAGCCCCCCACAAAGACTGCCCCCCACAATGCCCCACAACACATCTCCGTCATGTATTGTGGGGGGCAGTCTTGTGGGGGGCTGATTTGGTCTCCAATGAATTCAAATTGCATTTCACTTCTTTATCTATTTTGAATAAAGTTGAGAAAAACCTAAGGCTTAGTTTGGAAAGAATACAAATGCAAATATGTATAATGCAAATACATACAAAATATAAGGTTTTGAACTCTACATATTTGCATTTATATTCTTTCCAAACTAAGATTAAAAGCAAAATTTCATAATGGTTTATGATGGAAATGGAATCGGGGTGCAACGATGGAACCCCCATGGTATGGGCTTGTAGCAATTTGGGAATCGCAACCATCTTGGGCTCACGAATATGTAGGATTTGTAGCACATCCAGAATTGCAAGTTATTTGGGAATCGTAAGTCATCTAGATAGGTTATACAAAATTGCAGGTTATTCTGGAATTGCAGATCAGATTCACATGGCTCTGGACTTGTAGTAGGGATTTGCAAATCTTGCCTTTTTGGTTTAGTGAGAACCAATCTAATTTGCTTTTTAGAAACATGTTTTCATTTGATTATTTAACATCATATTCCATAAATCATATAATTTTTATATTAGAAAATTTGTTTTTGTTTTAAAAACCATTATTTTGTTGGTTTCAAAAACATGCATTGGTTTTTGAAATAAAACCAACTTATTTTATTTTTAGAAAATAAAAACAGAGTTCAAGAACATATTTTTGTTTTGTTGCTGATGTGGTGATTCTAAAAACAAATGAAAACAAAAACAATCATGTTATAAAAACTCCTAAATCGAGATAGGATTAACTGAAGCAATAACTGTTCAGCAGGCTGCATGTGGAAGTGGAACCAATTATAACACTGCACATCAGTTATAAAATGCATGTGACCCACAACCATTCAACCTCTTACTATGTTTGGTTTGAAGGAAAGAGTAGGGAAAGGGAAATGCAAGGAAACCTATACAAGATTTGTAAAGGTTTCCCTTCCTTTTATTTCCTTTCTCAATTTTTTCCTTCAAACCAAACATAGCCTTAGTATGGCCCCATGTATTTTATCAGAGTTCACATCTCCTCCCCACTAGTAGCCGCCCCACAGCACATTCCCGCCATGTATCTGGAACATCTTCCGATGATAACATCATGGGTTCTGATAATATCATCAAGAGATGTCCTCAATACATGGCGGGAATGTGCTGTAGGACATTGTGGGAAGGCCCCTTGTGGGGAGGGGATGTGATCTTATATATATATATATATATATATATATATATATATATATATATATCAAAATTGGTCCTTTCATTTTTCAAAAATATCAAACCAATAGCTTCGAGCCTTGACTTATCGTATTTTTTGGTTTAATTTTCTTGGTTTAAATTTTCAATATTTTTTTTGGTTTTTTATGAGGACAAAAAAAAAACAGCTTTATTATAGTCACTATTATTATTTATTCATCTTATCCACTAAAAGACAAAGTGAATAAGTCATTCAGTCAGCAGTTCAGCTACTTCAGCCATTATCAAACTTCCTCCTCCACCCCACGCAATTATAACTTTATAAGGAGTTCTTGCCTTCCCTCTCTCCTGTCTGACATCCCATCCCCATCCCGTTCTCGATTACTCTCTCCGTCGGAGGAAGTCTTTATCGCCGAAGAACGTTTGATCTCCGATCCATCAATCTCTCCGAACAGAAAAAATGAACGATGCAGACGTCTCGAAGCAGATCCAGCAGATGGTGAGGTTCATCCGCCAAGAGGCGGAGGAGAAAGCCAACGAGATCTCTGTCTCGGCAGAGGAGGTGTGCCAATCTCTATCTCTCTCTAGTCTCTACTTCTCTTTTTGTTTTTTTTTTTCTTTTTTAAATTCGATATTTCATCCGATCTCTGTGAATTCCGACTATTTATTTTATTTTCTCTTGGTAATACCTTAATCTAGAAATTTCTTCTTAATACTGGTTTTGTTTTTAATTTTGTTACTAAATTTTTTTTTTTTTTTCTGGTTCTTGATCCTTTATTGTCGATCTTACAATGGATACATATTATAACATCTCCAAATTGGAAATAAATACATAACAAATATAAACATGGCGATGCATGTTTGTTTTTTCAGGAATTCAACATTGAGAAGCTGCAGTTGGTTGAAGCTGAAAAGAAGAAGATCAGACAAGAATACGAGCGAAAAGAGAAGCAAGTCGAAGTTCGGAAGAAAATGTAAATATGCAAACTTATCTTTCTTGCTTCATTTGTACTGTAATTTTAGTCTGTTCTGTTGACAGCTAAAACTTAAACTGAATATTTGGACTTTAGAGCGTTGGACTTCAGAAGGGAATCAAAACTTGTGAACCATTATATTTCAACTTGACATTTCAGGCAGAAAAAAAAAAAAACACAAGTAATTTGATGTGATCTAATTTAAAGTTGTCATTCTCGTTGTATCACATATATGCTGGGAATGAATTGCTTAGGATCAGCCCCACTAGAATAGGTCTTTTAACTAAGATAATTACCAGTAACATGTGAACGGTAGCTGTTTCTTTGTAAAATATCTTCTGAGGTAACTTAAATTTGCTTTGTTGTTCCAAGTTTTGTTTTAGGGGACTGGTTTGATCCAGGGGGTGGCGGAGGGGAGCCATGATCCCCCATGTCTTAAAAATTCCCATAATCCCCATTTAACTCCCACTTACATTTTGGCCCCCTAATCCATGTTTATTAGCTTTTGGTCCCTCTTAAAAAATATCCTGGCTCCATCTCTGATTTGAGCACATAACATTTTTGATAAGCCAAGCACATCCTTAGTAAAAGGACAAAGAAACCATTATTTTTAATGATAAGAGTGAATGCATAGGGTACTTTTCTCTTTTCAAACACATACATTTTGATCATTTTGAAAAATGGAATGTGGACAAACCTCTCCTTTGATTTTATTCCTTCCACTATATCTTTGTTTCTGGTATTCTTGGTTCATACTTGATTGTTTGTTTTGTATGCTGTGTGTTGACATTCATCTACATCTTCTTACCATCCTAAAGTGTATTTCAGGCATACTGCTTATGTTCTCTCCACTTCCTTGTGGGCTTTTGAGCCCTTCTGTTTATTTGTCCCATTTGTGTTTCTAGTTAATATTGAGGTTTTCTTGAAATGTAATTAATTCTCTATTAACAAAACTCGTTATGTCCGTTTGATATGAAATGACAAAGATCAACCATACTTGTTAGACAGTAAATAAATAATTTATTTCCTGATGCAAATAGCATGCAATTAATCATTGTGGTGTGGTATTGAATTATGCAGAAGGGAATCAATACTTTATTATCTTTTGATAAGCATAATTTACAATTTTTCCTGTGTGATCCATTTTACATACTTAGTCTTAAGCTTATTTTCCACATAAGTATGAATAGAAGCTCTTTGAAATTTTTGCACACAGTGAGTACTCTATGCAGCTCAATGCTTCTCGTATCAAAGTTCTTCAGGCTCAGGACGACTTGGTTAACTCCATGAAGGAGGCAGCATCAAAGGAGCTCCTACAAGTGAGCCATGATCACCATGTCTACAAAACGCTTCTGAAAGATCTTATTGTTCAGGTGAGTAAACTATGTGTCATTTTGCTATGAGTCATATTCATTGAGGTTAATTGTTGTAGAGAACCATGAGAAATTTCTTATTTCTATAGCTATGCTTTTTATATATGGAGACAACATTTAATTGCAACCCGAGATCAGCTAATGGTGTACCCAATGTTTTTGCAAAGGCAAGGGGTAAGGAGTCAATTACACTGGGTTTTAACCACTCAAATGGGGAGCTTATAATGCAGAATGTCACAACCAGGACATAAGAGGGTGGGCAGAAATTTTAGGACCATTTGTTCTGGTGCTTGGCACATTTATACATGGTACAACTCTTTCATATTAATTAATAAAGATCTTTTTACTGATAAAAAAAGATCAAGTTTCATAAGGTGCATAGATTTGATTTGAAAACATTTGAGTATTAGGAAAGGGAATTTAGAGCTTAAAATTTGGATGTTTTGGTTATTTTTGAAATTTCTAAACATATTTTGGTTGTTCTTCTTAGGAATATGTGCCAATTGGAAAACTCATGAAGTTTTAAAGACTCTTTTTTGCTCAGATTTTTTAAACGGGGAAATGAAAAATAGGACAAATAAGATGCATAAGGAGGTTAACTTCTCACAAGAAATTACCATTAGAATAACTTCTAAAAAGAAACTTACATTATTCCAATGAGAAATAGATTAGCTCAAACCTTCATGAGCTTTTGAAGCATTACTCTCTTGTTAAAACCTCTATACAATGTTGTGGTGGATCATCCTTCTCTTCCTGATGCTATGTTAAATAAAATGTTCTGAAAATGATTAGAAGGGATAAAAAACTTTACAAACACATAGACTTTGGATATTTGCATTGTGATTGGTTGAATTTACACACAATTGTCTTTAAGTTTCTAAATGATGCTTTTATGTTTGCTGAATAAATTGTTCATTCTCATATTTGATCATTTTGGTAACTTCCACGATTGGAATAATATGACTTGCTTCTCCTGCAGAGTTTGCTCCGACTGAAAGAACCTGCTGTTTTGTTGCGCTGCCGGAAGGATGATCTACATTTAGTAGAATCTATTTTGCAATCAGCGAAGACGGAGTATGCAGAGAAAGCAAAAGTTCACCAACCTGAGATAATAATTGATCATCATGTTTACCTGCCACCTGCACCTAGCCATCATAATGCTCATGGCCCTTTCTGGTGAATTCCATTTAATCAAATAACCTATTATGCTATATTATATTTTTCTTTATATGCTGGTATGTCCAGTCAATCTTCTAGGATTTCTTTTGACATGTATGAACAGACTTGTGTGCATATATATGAACTTCTATGCCAGTCTAGATTTGTTAATCTTAAGAAAACTTCACTATGATATACTTGTTCCCAAAGAAAATTTCTAACTACAAGTTTGTTTTGTTATGATTTGATCCTATGTTGACATGGCATTTTGATAGAGTTGTTACCATCATCACCATTGTTATCGTCATTGTAATCCAAGCCTTTTCCCAACCATATGGGGTTGGCAAAATGAATCCTGTTTCTTGTTTCACCATCCCATTCTGTTTAATGTCATATCCATTGTTAAGTTATTGGACCAAACCAGGATTCAGGTCATGAGAGCTTGGAACCCTTTTCATAATACTAAGTCATATTTTACAACTTGTCTTGGAGGGCCACCTTCAAATTCAGTATATCTCAGTTATAAAATGTCTGCTTCTAAATTATAAATGTAAATTTGTCAACATTTTTCTTGATCCAGATTTTAGCTCCAAATTAGGCAGTTGAGACCCTTTACTCTTTTTTCTCTGAATGGATCCAGTAGGGTATCAAAGAGTTCTGAGGGTATGAATGTGTGATGCACACAAAAATGTTTTATAATGGATGGTTCCATTTACAGTGGTGAACCTATTTCTATTACATGGCACTCTGAGATGGAGCCAAAGCATCCTGCAGATCTTTGAGTATGCCCTTCCAAAGTGTCATATCAATGAACCATTGAGCTATGGGTACTGAACTGGACCTGTCCACTATTGGCAGACCTGAAGCGAAGATCCATTATATAATTCCTCATCAAATTCTTACTGATTTCTCTTCTTTGATCAGTTCTTATTGATTTATTCTCTTCTACATTTTGCTTTTCTTGGGAAATCTTAGGCTTAGCAAACCATTGACAAATTGTCTGTTAGTGAAAGCATAGTTGATATGAAGCTTAGTTTCTGCTACTGACATAACCTTTTGCTTGTTCAGCTCTGGAGGTGTGGTGTTGGCTTCTCGAGATGGGAAGATTGTTTGTGAAAACACCCTTGATGCAAGGTTGGATGTTGTGTTCCGTAAAAAACTGCCAGAGGTATCTTCCTACACTCTTGATTGAGCTTGCACTTTGTGAGGAAGTTTTTGTGCCAGGACTGAGGTCACTATTCAACTGGATGCTTTGTGTCCAATTGTGTGATCATGAATTATAGATGTATGTATGCTTGACTGTTTTGCCAGTCTCAAGTAACCTTAACTGTTCAATCAGGGTTTGTCTTTAACATTGGATTAGCCCAAAGTGCTTTGAAGCCTGTTTCATGGGTCAACTGGTCCAACATGATGATCCATTACAGCTCATTGAATAACATATCCAAATTCGTTAATGATCGAAGATATTTAGACTGCATTTGGCATGATTTCAGAAAAATCAATTCTGATGAATTTTATGATTCTAAGAACCATTATGTTTGGATGGATGTGTAAAATTGTTGGAACTGATCTATTTTTGTGCTCAAACTTCGTTCTAAGGATTGATTCTTTGGATCTTAAAAAAATAGATCTTCAAAAAAGAATCACTTTTCACCCGAGGATTCATTCTTCAAATAGTTTGGACCGGAATTTTAACTAAACATAGTCTTAGTCTATGAGGTTAATCTTGCTCCTATTATTCCATGTCTTTGTCATTCACTAGATAGCAAAGTTTCTCATCTGAACTACAGGGGAGATTGAAAAGTTTTCATGCTTTATGCTAGGTCCTCCTTGCTGGTTCATTCCAAATCCTTGATTTGGTGGGGATTTCACCAGGAAACTATTTAGAATAAAAATGGCATGAAGGTTGCTAATGGCACTCCTTTATTTACAAAGGGACATGGTGAGGTTTTACTGCCAATGCACCTAAAAGTTAAACTTTTGTCCATTTTATGTTCCCTCCAAAAGAGCTTAGAAGGTGTATTATAACAATTCTTCACTATCTCCTCAACTGTTAATAAATTTGATCCATTTTTAAAATCAATAAGTAATGGGAGCCCTCAATATAATGACATTCCTTGTACCTTCAAATAGGACATTAAGGGATGGTGAGTCAAATTGTGTTATCGAGCTAATTCATTTACTAGAATCCGTTTGCTTGGACCCCACTTCTTCTGATCAAAGGGTTTGGACTCCTCTTCCAAAAGGTACTTTTACTTGCTCTTCTTTTCTAAAATCCCTCAGTTCTAACCCCTTTTCCCAAGGATTCCCTGTCAAAGAAGTCTGGGTGCGACCTATTCCCCAAAAAATTGTTGTATTCTGTTGGGAAGTCTTCTATTGGAAGATCAATACTTTGGAAAACTTACAGAAAAAGAGACCCTTGCTTTGTCTTTCCCCAAATTGGTGTTCCTTGTGTAAGGCTGAGAATGAGGACTGTGTCCATTTGTTGATCTCCTGTTCCTTTGCTACAACTATATGGAGGTGGAACCTTTATTTATTTGGAGGTAGGTGGTCTTTGCCTTTTGATTTAAGCTTGTTATTCAACCCATCTGTCTTTGTTTGGCACACTAGAAGAGGTAAGGTCATGTGGAAATGTGTCARRGCAGCCACTYTGTGGACTMTTTGGGAGGAAAGAAATGCAAGAATTTTCTTAGAGAAGGAAAGAGGGTTAGTTGTATCCCAATAAGAGCAATCCATTGGCTGAAAACTGTGGATATCTTTGATGATTTGCGGAGAAATTGGCTAGTAATAGATAACACTTCAACAAAGAAGGATAGAATTCTGTCAAAATGGATTCCGCCTTTGGAAGGTGTCATCAAGTTGAACTTTGATGGAAGTAGCCAAGGCAACCCCGGGCCTTCAGGTATAGGGGTATCCTGAGAAATAAGATCAGCAACATAATTTCCCTATTCTCAGGACCRGTGGGAGTGGGGGATTCCACAAGGGCAGAAATCCTTGCTGCAGTACAAGGAATTCAGATCGCCAACCAGCTTGGGGTGGAGCATCTCCTAGTTGAAGGGGACTCTCAGGTGGTAACCAGGTGGCTCTGAAACTTGGATACCACCATTTGGGGCTACAAAGATCTCATAAAAAAAGTAAAGTGGTTAACCAGTAATATGAGAGTTGAAGTAAAATGGGTTAGTAGGTCTGCTAATTCTTTGGCTGATGCTTTAGCCAAACAGGGGGTTTCTAGGGAAGATTTTTTTTGTGATTCTATGTAAGTTGTTATTAATTTGGAAATCTGTACTTAACTAGCCCGGAGAGGTTGCAACTCGTACCTTTCCTTGAGGACTTTGTACTATTGTCTATTGCTGTTTTATAAAATCATTTCAATTATAAAAAAAATAGATTTGACTAAGAATTTTGGTTTTGGATTTTAGTATAGATTTTCCCCATCTCCTAAGTTGGATTTTGGTTTTAACTTTAGTTTTATGAATTCTATAAACAGTATACCTGTATGTACTACTACTGCAATTTGTTGATTACAACTTAAAAGGTTAGAATGTGAAGTTATGATAGAACTTAAAAGTTCATCACTAGGATGGTTTGGAGAGAGGTTTATTAATCAGGTGTTAGGGGCCATTGCTTGATGTAGTGGTACAACCTCGGGCTAACAAGTGTGAGAACATGGTCTAAATCTGTGAGTGACCACTTTGTTCAGAAAATACCAAAGGTTAGGTCTGTATCCAGTCCTCTCTTCACAATTCATCCACATAGCTGAGACCAACTTTGGGTAATGGCCTTTTTCATTAATCAGGTGGTATTGATAATTTAGAGTATAGATGACTTTACCAATCAAATGGAGGTTGACCACCATTTCTATGTACATAACATTTATTATGGTGCCATTTTGGTTCAGTAGTTGATGCAAGTAAACTAATGAATTTTTTTCTATTCTTATATCTAGATATAGTCGTAACTAACTACAACTATTGTTTTTTTGCAGATCCGAAAGTGTCTTTTTGGTCAGGCTGCTGCTTGATAAGTTGGATTACTTTCATATAGTCACTCCTTGTTAATTCAAGATTGGTTGTTTAATGATTCTCCATCAACAATAAAAATGAACTTCTCAATTTTCATTCCTGGGAGTTCTTGTTTTAATAATTTATTTCATTTGAAAAGACTTAATTGCATTGTAGCTCAATACATTGTTCAAGATGTCGTAAATACTCGAGTTGTCAATATAGTTAATATTAAAATAAATTGTAGCTTACACTGGAAACTTTTTAATCAATAAAAGCTGGCTGACTTGCTTTGGTGCTCACTATAATTTTCAAGGTGCCTACTGCATACTGTAGGCGGCATGCCAATCAGCAAGTGATCTGGATAAGAAAATGGGATTTTTTTGAGAAAGATAAGAAAATGGGAATGACTTTTGAAAAGTAGTATTAGACTTGATACAATCAATCATACAGGGGCCATTGCTTGGTGTAATGGTAAAGCCTTGGACTGACAAGTGTGAGAACCTGGGTCCAGGTCTGATCAGATAGCTGGGACTGATGTTGGATAATAGTCCTTATGTCATACTTCATATGCTTGCACAATTAATACAACAAATATTTATTTTTTCTGAAGCCTACAAATGTTAATTGGGAATGGAAGCACAAATGTTAATTGGCATGGTCATTTGCAGTTGCTATAAATTTGGTAGGCATTGTATGGGCCATGTTTGCATGCTTTTACTTTTAACAGGGTAGTGAAGAGAACCATCGGCTTTCCTGATGCATGATGAAGATCTTAATATGAGTAATTCTGTGTTGTCTATACAAATGCTTCTCTTTGTTACTTTCTCAAATTCTCAATTAAGAGCTTGGTCCTGCTAAAGTTGCTGGAAAGTTATCATGCTGGACCTGCTTGTGTGGAGTGCTAATTTTGATATTTCCTGGGGACTTGGATGCCGAAGCCAAGAACGATGATGGCTTGGATAAGATTGGCACATCTTGGTAGTTCGCTTGTGTCTGTTTGTGTCATCAACACCACTGTTCATTCCTGAAGACTACAAAGGATGAGAGTTAGAACAAACAAAATCACTGACAAAATCATAAAATAACTAGCCCATTGGCTTTATTCCAATGGCTCTTAATAGAATAGAGCACAATGAGAAGCTTGGCAGTTTGGAAAAAAACAGTATGAGCTGTTTTGAAGTTTCCTGCACATGACACGCTACCCCACTCATCTCTTTATTTGTTTTTTCAAATTGAGAGAATTATTGATTACAATTACTCTTTTGCTCCACATCCAAGCTAATGTTCATGCGCATGAAGCTTCAACACAGCCCTAGTCTGTTTTTTTCACAACAGCTAAACTTGTCCCCGAGAACAATGGAGGGACAGGATTCTTGTACCCGACTCCAAAACAGTTGGTATTAAACTTTTGCCTGGTTGACACTGATTTCATTGGATGGTTTAAACTTTTGCCTGTTTGACTTAAGTTAACTGATCCCAGTGGAAACAGGTATCCATTATCCTGGTTCTACTGTAGGGTTGATCATTTCTGTCTTGGCCCGGCTCATCCTGGAAATTTCTGGACCTGAGCATAAGGTTTTCTTCCAAGCCCGAACTGGCCCAAATCAGTATCAAGCCTGCACAAGATAACGGGCTGGGAGTGGCCCTAAAATGAGATTACTACCCTGTAAAAATTGGCCCAAGTCCGGCGTGGCCCATGATCATCCCTACCCCACAGGCTCTCCCCTATTACCAATCCGTATGCTATCTGCTGTTTGAAACCCAATGTATGCCAAGAGAGGAGAAATAGACATGAGAAAAACGATACTGAAATTTGATTAACAGATCTCACTGCTTCACTGGACCCGGCAGTAGAGAACAAAACTAACCTCGTGATTTATGTTTCTACCGTTATTTCTTTCCCAACTGCTACGGTAAGACGTATTTGCTCCAATGTGCATGAGATATATTAGAACCAATGCTTGGGAATACGAAGAACGAGAGTAGGATTGGGAATTTCTACCCTACCCGGCTGGTACCCACCCCATAATGGGGAGGATTTTTTTAAGTTTTGGGGCTGGGATGGGTTTCAGGATTCTCCAATCATTATGGGTAAGGGTAGGATACAATATTAGGCTAAACATGACTCTCCCTAACTCATATATTGTTGGAAGGCTTATTAACTTATCTACTAGGTGCTTAATGTAATAATATTTTGTATTATATGCGAAGGATAATTAATAATTTGTGTTTTTTACATGTTTGATCAAATAATTGGAAATTTTAATAGAAAATTAGATATGGTCCATATGGATTCTAGACCCAAGCCAATCTCACCCACCCCACGCTTAAATGCAGGTAGAGTAGGGTGGGAAAGGATTCTAAAATTCCAATCCATTAATTGGGAGGTCTAAGGAAGTGGGTAGGATTTAAAATTTTCAAAACCGTCTCCAAACCTGCCTTGTTGCTATCCCTAATGGGAGATCTTTCTTTGAACATTCTTCTCTTTGTACAATAAGTCCCGTCTAATTATACTTGTGATATAGGAAGGACATCTACATTTGGAGTCTGGAACTGCTCCTCACAAAGTGCTCATCACACCAACCTCACAACATATCCTAGCTGCGCATCAGGAACATCTCCCATATCTGTATTTATTATTCATGAGGAAATGTTCCCGATACATGGTGGGATGTGGTATGAGGTTGGTGTGGAGAAAATCCCAAGTCCTATATTTTATTTGTAAATTTCTAAGCTTCAAACACTTTGTGTGTGTATCATGCTGTTGTATGAGTAGAGGTGTAAAGTGGGTAGTGCCATGCTGCATGGCACGAATTTTGTAGGCCATCCGTGCTTTAGTGAACTGTGTTGTTCCAGCATGCAAGCCTGGGTGGGCCATACATCCCCAACCTAGAATTCCTCAATGGTTGGGCCTAGGATGGTCCATGACATGAGCCTAGGTGGGCCAGGTTGTGAGAGGCACTATTTTTTAATAAGAATTTTAAATAAATTAACAAAATAGATAAGAAATTGAAAAAAAATCTTTAAAATTTTATTCTATATGAATTTTGTTGTATACAATTGTTTATATATGAGAAATTCAAGAAAAATACAATACAATTGGGATATATATATATATATATATATATACAATTGGACTATATCGTGTTAGGTCAATTGCTACACTGACTAGGCCATGCTCGGTATAGCCCATATTGTGTCAGGCCCTACTTTACAGCTCTAGGTATGAGTGGTAATCAACAATGTTTTAAAAACCGATCTGGAGGCTGAATCGTTTTTGCTTCCAGGTCACAAGTTACTAATTCGACTGGTTGAGTTGAATGGTTTAGACTGTGCCATGTCAATGTATATATATATATGTGTGTGTGTGTGTGTGTGCGCACGCGCGCGTGTGTGTAAATACATATTTTATCAATAAATAATGTATAATTATGTTTTAGATATTATATATGTATTATTTTATATTTAATTTATGTTTTTATTTTAATTATTAATTTTTTATTTATAAAAATATTAAAAATTGCAATTTAAGGCCAAGAAAGGGTTTTTTTCACAAAAATAGTGGGGCAAAGCACCTACGGCTCCTTGGGATCCATAGATCTCAAAAAGTTACCCAAAAAATCATCTCAATCGAACATTGGAGTGCAAAGTTATGGCCTCCTGAAGTTTGCATGCATAGTATGCAAACCGTGATCCATTACTGGGTCAACAATCTAACTGTCCGGATCCAACAATTTGTGACAAAGTCAACAATTTTTGGCATTTCTCCAGGTTTTACTCAAACCGGACCCAAAATCTTGACTAGGTGATGGTTCGAATGGTTTAATCGGCCCAGTCAACAACGAGTTGAAAACACTATTAATCAATCAGAATTTGAATTGAGATTTGCTCCTCACAGAATGCACATCACATTCACATAGACGGGTAGACCTCACAGCCCCATCCCACCATGTATTGAGAACATCTCTCCATGAATAACAACACAAAGTATTGGAGATGTTCCCAATACATGGTGGGATGGGGCTGTGAGGTCCATGTGAGGTGCGCTCTATGAGAGCAGATCCAACTCTCAAAATTCATGAGGATCAAATCCTTTCATTGGGATTATCTCCATACTAATGTGCTTTATTTCATGGGGAGATATTTGCAAGGCTATAAAGGTTGTTCGAACGGCCTTGCATGGATTTAATCCGGTTTCCATCTCTTTTAAGCACCATAAATTTCTCTTATATCGTGCATTACTTGTTAGTAAAAAACACCTGTGACATATATTGAAGTATGTCAAAACTCAAAAGTTCAAAGTGTGAATTCTTCGTTTCATCTTAATTTTGGGCATATTGGTACCAATAAACAATTAAGTATGTGTATGGTATAGCTTCCGTTTATTAAATAAACGTGTGTACATGATTTGTCTTCAAAACCGAGAAAAGTACTTGATAAATCGTTTATGTATAAGTAGGTGCCACATCAGTGGAACAATGAATAAACGCTCAACCGTTGAGAGAAGTGTTAAAATTAAGCTTCTCCAATGATTGACGTGCATATAAATCAAGACCCACTTTTGTAAATATTAATACGTGCGGATGAATGTGATGGGAAAAATGCTGATATAACGATAATATAACAACATTTTGCTAAATGCCTATTACAAAACACCCACCAAACAAAACACACGCTAAACTTTACCAAAACATAATCCTTTGGTTAGTATTAAGCATAATCTAAGCGTTTTAATAATATACTCCACCTCAGAATTGATAAATTAAATCCCCATCTTGACACTCACCCCAACTGTATGACAGCATTATGAATTCTGAGGTGGACTCAACTCAGATTACCCCTAAAATCTATGATACCAGAAAAACTCCAAAATTCGAACTTGGAAGCTAGTTCCACGAGAGCTACTAGGCAGCTGCTTTCATGACTCTCACCTCACCGACACTTCATATAGGGATGAGATGAGATGGCGCCATCCACCACTGGCAAGATGAAAGATCCTTCCGCATCCTGCCGTGAACACATCAAATGTGGTAAATAAATTTCATTGATTTGGCCACTAACATCAGACTTTGTTCTACATTATACTACTCTGGCGTCCCATATGTCAGATACTAACCCAACTCAGTTACCACAAGATGACGACCTCTCTAACACCAACAGCGGAGTAATGCTCAGCCATGTGACCATAGGAATATTCTTCTTGCTATAAGACAAGTTCTTCATTCAGACTGTGTTCATTGATCTTCTTCACTTGATACTTGATACTTTCTTCCCTGTACTATCTTTTGATTATTGATTCTGTGCAAGAGTTCACTGGGATAAAAAATGGATCCCCCCATAAGGAAGACTTTTGCTGGGTCTCGTCGAGTTTTTTCGTTTTCCATCATCATCTGGGTGTTCTTGGCGGTGTTGGTTTCGTCAAGCGAATACAAATGTGACTTTAAGGCAATCTTCAATTTTGGAGACTCCAATTCTGACACAGGTGGCTTTTGGGCTGCTTTTCCGGCGGAGTCCGGTCCCTTTGGTATGACGTACTTCAAGAAACCCTCCGGTCGGGCTGCGGATGGACGGCTTATAGTGGATTTCTTGGGTAAATCCCAGACCAGAGAAACATTAATGGTTCTTTTGGTATATGACGCATTCAAGTAACAGATATGTTAAGATCTTCCCTTTATATTTCTTTTTTTACTATATTGTTATATTTTTATTAATTTCATAGTTTAGATTCGGATTGGGTCGATCAGAAAGTGGAAAACTCTATCTGATAATTAGTATCAATGTACACAAGTACTTGCTGAATGCTCTTGCAGTATTTATATTGATTACATGCTTTTAGACTTAATACCCAAGACTCTTTAATTCATGATCGAAGCATAGTTCATTTCAATCCACGCTGGTTTTTGTGATTTCAGACATGTTTTAGTTTCCGACTTCCAGTACCATGGCGATAGATGCAGAAGAGATTATTCGAAATAGTTAGGCATGAAATTGGATTCTACTGGCATATTCTAAGTATAAAAATGTACATTTTTATGTAATGAACCACATGTACAGTACTGTTTCTGCTATATATTTTCTCGTTTTTGATTCCAAGCGTACAGTGGAACTAAGCTTTAGAAATGCATTGGAGGTAGCAAACAATTGGGAAATGGGAAGAAAATGTTTCTCCTTTCCGTTTTCCCACTTCCCCAATCATACAATGAGAACCAGGAAGCTCCTGCACGGCTAGTGCCCACTGCCTAGTGGTGGGTTTGTCACATTTGTTTACAACTCTACGCAAATGTCAACCAGAAGGTAAGAGGCCAAAGCTGGAAATGGTCCCTATAATGCCTGTCTTCATCATAGAAAACATCCCAACAGTATGATCGAGGTAGAAGCTATAGCTGTGTAGCTTCCATTTTCTGTCTCTTGACTGAAACGCTCATATCAAGTTACTAAGAAAAAGAAAATTAATCTATCTGATAACCTATCTATAGTATCATGTAAGCTTCAAATTAAATTGTTGATCAAGTATAAATTTGATTAAACAATTATGAGAAACACTCAATTGTTGATAGTACTGCACTTTTTATCTAGCAACAAGAAGGTGGATTTGGAGATGTTAGTAGCGGGGCTCGAAACCGTATCTCGTCTGGGGCTTACCCAGTTCATGCCAACCGAGCCACCACTCGGTAGTCATGCATTTTCTTTGGTCTTTTCATTTTACCTTGTCTCCTCTCCAACTCTTTTCTTTCCATCCTTGACAGCTCAAGCTCTGGGGCTGCCATTTATAAGCCCATATCTTCAGTCTATCGGATCAGATTTCAGGCATGGTGCCAACTTTGCAACATTGGCATCTACAGTGCTATTGCCAAATACTTCCCTCTTCGTGACCGGGATTAGTCCTTTCTCTCTGGCCATTCAGCTTAATCAAATCAAGGCATTCAAGGCTAGAGTTGATGAAAAGGCTCCAGGTAATCTAGTGTATATCATATATGTAGTGCATCTATTTCTCAATGGGTATCAAGAAATTCAAATTTTATTTTCCTTTCATTTTCATTCTAGGTCCCCTTCCATCCCCTGATATATTTGGGAAATCACTCTACACACTGTACATTGGCCAAAACGACTTCACCTCCAACTTGAAATCCATTGGTATAGCTGGTGTGAAAGAATATCTTCCTCAGGTGGTCGCTCAAATTGCTGCAACTGTCCAGGTCAAAGCTCAGAAATACCACTTAGGATTAACAAAAGTACCAAAAATACGAGTTTACCAATGTCACCTTGATGCATCTTCACATGATCAACAGCAGTTTACTTGAATCAACAGTTGTGGATTTACTTAGGTTGTGTTTGGTTCATTAATGTTACTTCTACTTGTAATGTTTTAGGTTGGTTAATACAATTTTTATGAGAAATATTTATTTTTTCTATCACAAATGCCACGTCAAATTTGATGTTTCTATTATAAATACCAACACCTAATCTAATGCCTATATGTTTTTAGCTAGTGGTTATTTGGTGTGATGTGACAAGTCAATTTTTCAAAAATTTGTATTGAACAACCTAAAAAATTGCAAGTAAAAGTGACAATAGTACCAAACACAACCTAAATAAGCCTGGTGAAGCAACTGCAATCGTTCTAGATAAAGAGTTTCCTCACAATTAAACTATGGCAGGAGCTATATGGCTTAGGAGGACGGACTTTCCTGGTGCTTAATATTGCACCAGTCGGATGCTACCCAGCTTTTCTGGTACAGCTTCCTCACAACAGCTCCGACTTGGACATGTATGGTTGCATGGTTTCATACAACAATGCTGTGATGGACTACAATAACATGCTGAAGAATGCCCTCACTCAGACTCGCAGAGCTCTTCCAGATGCATCCGTCATATATGTGGACATATATTCAATTATGCTAGAGCTTTTCAGGCATCCCAAATCTCATGGTTTGCTTCTTTCTCACTTCTTATAGACTGGTTTTCGGCTTGCAGCGGTTACATGAATCCTATTTCATCAATTTGATCTATTCAAAGCCATACCCAATACTGTTAAATTATCGGTGCTTAAATTATTTCTTACTACTTGTACACATCTTCTTCTAGTATTTGAAATATTTGGCACTTGTTATAGTATCAAATATTCATCAAATCCTGAGTTTATCAACTTATTCTTCCTTAATTGTTCCTGGCAGGGTTAATTTATGGAACTAAAGCTTGTTGTGGATATGGGGGTGGTGATTACAATTTTAATCCTCAAGTTTACTGTGGAAACAGCAGGATAATTAATGGGAGCACTGTAAAAGCAACAGCTTGTGAAGACCCATACAACTATGTGAGCTGGGATGGGATTCATGCAACTGAAGCTGCAAATAAGCTTGTAACATTGGCCATTCTTAATGGTTCCTATTTCGACCCTCCTTTTCCCATTCACCAGCTCTGTGATTTACAACCAATAGGTTAATCTGGCTCCCCATTCTTAATAACTAATCAAAATCCTTTAAACCCCTTCTCTCCAGGAATCCTCAGTGTAGTATTAATTTTATGTACAATGTACAGAACCAATAAAATAAATGCATAATAAAGCAAAGTGTTTGCCCCATTTTCATAAAATTTAGGTTGTGTTTGGTACCATTGCTGTTTCTAATCTAACTGAAACATTTTATGTTGATCAATATTATAAATTGGCATACAATTGTTGTTATTTGAGACTATTTATAATTGAAATAGGTGTACTTAAAAATGCATCTATGAGAGACTGTTTCTAGAAACATCAAATTAATGTTTCTTGCTTCAGGGGGTGAAGTCTAGTCATTCTAGCTGAAGTAATTCTCTTATGTCAGGAGTGTTTGGAGAGTTTGGAGCATGTTCTGATTTCTTGCCCTGCTGTCTCGCCGATCTGGTTTGGTTCCACTTTAAGTATGTGCATGGATTGTAATTCGAGTAAAAATATAGCGCAGAGGTTAGCTGATGTGATTCATATAGTGGCATCGAAACAAGAAGGTGTTTGAACATCAACCATTCAACCCCCAGTCGGTTCTCATCAGAGCATAGGCCTATACCAACTCCATTCTTCAGACATGTCGAAGCTCACCTCCCCCATTGAATGAACAGCAGTTGTCTGAAAATGTCCCAAGACAATGGATTAAACCTCCCCAGAGAACTGCATAAAAATTAATGTTGATGGAGCTACGGGTACTGAGGCTGCGGGGGTTGGTATTGTGCTCGGTGATCATAATGGCTCTCACCTGTTTTCTAGAGCAATTCCCTTGCAGCTATGTACATCACTTGAAGCGGAAAGCCTTGGCTTTCCTCTATGGACTGGAATTCTCAATGGAATTAAATCTTCATAATGTGATCATTGAAGGCGATGCTTCGGTTATAGCTCAGCTTCTGTTGGTGGAAACAGTTCAGCCACCATGGAAAATCATCTCCATAATCGCTGACTGCAGAAGCTATTTGTCATGCCTTCCAACTATCTCGGTTTCTTTAGTTAGGAGGACTGCTAACAAAGTGGCCCGTTGCTTAGCGCATCGGGCTTTATCTTGTAATAGGCCATGTACTTGGTCTCTCTGCCCTGAAGTGGCTACCTCTCTTGTATACTGTGATATTACTGATTCGAGATAATTGAATTAAAAAAGGAAATAGCTAGTAATGGTGCCAAACACAAACTTGGTTTATTAAGGTCTATAATGATCAGTATAAACTGGTTTATTTAGGCTATGCTTGGTTAAGGAAAAAGTAGGGAAACCTTTACATCTTTCCTTTCCTCTCCCTACTTTTTCCTTCAAACCAAACATAACCTTAAGGAAACTGATGGAAAATCTTTTTAATGTAAACTGTAAGAAGACTAGAGTAAATGTATAGAGATCTAAAGGTTGTTACTTGAATGGTTGCTTTAAAGAACAAATAAACAGATTTTATTTTTATGTTTCCCTGAAGAGCAATATATTTATTTTTTGACTTTATTATTGATCGATTCATGGGTTAATGATAGAAAAGTAATTAATGTTCATGGATTCTGTGGCATTTAAAGCAAGTCTAGGTTAATGAAACGGTCAATGTGAAGGGAAACTAGCTATATTGCCAAAGCATGTTTTTTTATAAACAGTTCAAGCATGTTAATTCGAAACACCATCTTATTTTCAGGAGTCAAACATATCTTGGAGCATAGCATAAAATTTGCCAATTTGGGGTTTGAGCTTCGATGTATGAGACACAAGTTGATCTTGAACTGGGAGGAATTGACGTTAGAGAACTGGATTAAGTAATTTGTGAGCTACCACCATATCATATTTAGAGTGTATAATATTGGGCCGTTTGGGAGGGCTGAAGCTTTGACTGAGCTGCTTTGAAAAAGAAGTCATTAAAACAAGCTTCACCTCAAAGTCAATCTTTTGGGCTGAATGACAATTTATTTGGGCTTTCTAGGTTCTCCACCAAACATAGCTTATAGGCTCTCCATATGTAGCCCACCTTGCAAAGCCAGAAGCCATTGTGTGAAAGTCCTCCCAAATGGGCATTATATACATTCGTATATCGACTATGGTGATGTTTGATATGTAATAATTGTTTCTAGTTGAAACGCTGCCAAATTAGTGCCACCTAGGATTTTTGCGTTTAAACATCATTTTTCTTTTTGGACGAGGCTGTTTTGAGTTAAAATAGTCATCGAATGGATATTTCTTCCATCAGCTGCCCATTTGAAGAAACAGCCCAATGACCTACCTCTTAGTTGACATCCTACATGGCAGTGTAGAGATACATCCTACTGCATCACACAAAGTTTAGGTATTACAATGACATGTTTAAAAGTTCAGGTGTTAACTTGACACTACCCCAAAGTTAGGGGTAATAAAGTGGAATTTTCCCTAATATTTATTATTTAAAATATAATATTATATATTTTTTATTTATTTATTATATATATATATATTATAATATATATTGTAAATATAAAAAACCAAGAAACCGACGAACCGAACTGATGGTTAATCAAACTGGTCAATCAATTAACCAATCGACTTTGGTTCGATTTCGATTACCAGTTTTCTAGAAACCAGTAATACCAGTTCAATTTTAAAAATAGGCTCACGGTTCAGTTAACCGAACCGTGAGCACCCCTAATTTAAATGTTATCAGCAACAAAACCAAAACCAAACACAAAATTGCTCAAAAACACTTGTTCAAAGGCTAGTTAGCACAAATACCAACCAAACAATTTTCATGTGAAAATTTCATTGCATCTATAAGCGTTTGAGCCTGAAATGGCAATGGTTCCAAAACAAATTATGTCTATAGTTAAATATAATGTTGTGATTAGTTGGGAAGTTTAGGGAGGCAGGTAGGATCTAGAATTTACAAAACATTCCTTGAACCTGCCTCGTTGCCATCCCTAATTCACCATATTAGTTACATGTTAAATTTAGATCTCAACAAAATATACTAAAGTTTGCTACTTTTCATTGTTTCATGTCCTACAAAGTGTATTTTCACCTTTAACAAGGTATATTTATCATCATGTTCAATCAATCACATCTTTTGCTATATGATGCAGCAGATGCACCATAGAAGTAGCCTTAAATATTGGGTGTCCAAACCTATATATATGTATCCAAAATTTTCTATAAAATTTAATGTATTCTTTTTTTGTTTTTCATTATTAATCGGATGCAGCTTGAAAAATCTAAATTTGATTACGTAAACACCTCATATTGGGCTATAAAGTTTTGAGTATCATTGACAGGCCTACCCACTTAGCTGGACTCTTCCTTTTGTAATGCTTTATCTTCTTAGTGTATATTTTTTTTTGTTCATTTATAAAGAAAATGTAAGATTTAAAGAAAGGGGATTGAATGGAGTGGAATTTGTAGTTCAAACTATATTTTAAACCTCACAATTAAATAATGATTAAATTAAAAAAAATGGATATTTTAGTTAAAAGAAAGTTCATAAATCTTATTCATATTTTTAATACTAGTGTAAATATGGAGTTATAGATGTGTTCAATTTTCTCTCTCTCTCTCTCTCTCTCTCTCTCTATATATATATATATATATATATATATATATTATTTCTGTGTGTAAAAGTAATATTGTTATGTACACATATTTTTATTTAATATGATAGATATACAATATAATACATGTGCCCAAATGTTTTTTTTGTAAAATTTATGTATATTTTATTTTTGTGTTTTTTATATTTTATTAATTTTTATTATTTAATTGACATTAAAGGCTGACAGATTAGACCCAACAGTTGAACTATTGATCTCTATTAAACAAGAAAATAATTTCATTTTTGGTCAGTTTTAGATTATGTATTTCATTTTTATCATTAATAAAAATAATTCTTTTTTATTACACTTGTTTTTTTAATTTGATTAATAAAAATATCACAAATGTGCCAATTTTTTCTATATTTGTAATTTTCTACATTTATTTCTATTTAAAAGTTTTATTATATAACTTTGATTTCATGTGTTGGCCAATTTGATTTGGACCGTTGAATTGCTTAGTCATCACTGGGATAAAAAATTGTTTTATTATTGAGTAAGTTTTAAACTATATGGGTTTATATTGTTAAAAGTATTGGACATAGATCTAATTAGTAGCATTTATTAGTGAAAAAATAACTTAAATATGGGATTTAATGAAAGAGAATGGGAGTTAATACCTTAAATACAAGAGTTAATAAGAGGGTATTAAATGAGGTGAAAGTCATTAATTGAAATTACATTTTTATCCTTCATAATTAGATATAGACTAAATAACAAATGTGGGTGAGTGTGTGTGTGTATATATATATATATATATAAAGAAAGAGACAGAGAGAGTGGGGGGTCCCCTAACTATAGAATTCGTGTGTGCCTTCTCCTATTCTCATTTCTGGCACAAATGTGCATATTAAAACCCTCATGGGTCTTCATGGTCTCTCATAAAATTTATATTTACTCTCTAATAACACCATTTCTCTCTCTCTCTCTCTCTCACTCACTTTAATAGCCAATGCCGGTAACATCTCCCCTCATTAAATCCCTCTTTTCCTCTTAAATCTCTTTAATTAATTCATTTTGGCTCTATCTAATAAAGTAGGGGTCTTAATTAGATGGATTGGGTTAGGTTAAGGGTCAACCTAAATATTAACCGTAGCTTTAACCCAAACTAATATCAAAACCCAAATTTGCCCACCAATACATGGGTTGTCTCAACTGCACAACTTGCTTCTTCTATATACGACTTGTAGCAACCTCTTCAAGGGCCCTCTTACTTGGGCCATATTTCTTCTACTAGATGGCTCTAGCCTCGAATTCCTTCTTTTTATTGGCCTCGATCTCGACCACCCTTTTATCTAATGCCACAGTTTTTTTCTTCACAACCTCAACTTGCTACCTCAAGCTTTTTAGCCTTCTTGGTAGCAGTGACTACTCTCTACCTAGGGTGGTTGGATTAAGTTTGACCTTCATTAGGGCCTCCTTGATGAGGAAATGTCTGGTGGGGCCCTTCCCCAACTAGACTCGGTTCAATATTCTCTTCTCCTCATTGTTTAGTGACGGAAAAAGTCTCTCGAAGGTCAAGTCAAGATTCCCCCACTCTGTCCTCATGGCCAATCATCGGTTTATGGCACAAATATATATATATCAGTCCTAATTGTGAACTGAAGATGGGATTCCTTCTAGAATCTTCCTCCCACCTTGGGCCCTAAAATTCCACCATCCATTGGCTATCAAGTAAGTTCGTAGGCAAAGCAATGTCCTGAAGACATTGGCGTTTAACGAGATGCCCCATTGGTGAGCCATAGAGATGACTTTGACCATGAACCTAATGGCGTTTGCAGCTATCTGATCGATCGTGATCCCATAGTAATTTAGGACCTTAGCATTTAGGGGTGGAAAGGTATCCTCAACTCAGCCTAAAGTTGATGCTCAAACAAGTACAGTTATCCCTTATTTCCTGTCCAAGGCCTCTCATGGCCTCAAGGAGCCTCACAATGAACCGATTAGAGATGAAGTAGTGCTATTAGATATAATTGAGATCCGCAAGCCTAAAAATGCATTCAAGCTTAGAGACTCTCCCATTCGCGACAGTAGTCCCAACTACCACCCTCTCTTTGGGGGTTGAGATGGTGACCTCGTTTCTCTTGACTTGGGGCATCCTAGACCTCCTTTCTAAGACCTCGACCTTAGAAGAACAAATTGAATTGGAGGTTTCTGACCTTGACTTGGAACTAGAAGACCTATAACTACTAGGAATCTCCTAATTGGTCCATATACTTCTCGCTCTGTCCCTGAAAACATGGTGTGCACAAGGAGATTTACTATGAAGCAAATGGCAAGACACTCAACCTCACACCCTCCTCTTTTATAGGTGATTCAAATGCCAAGATGAATCAGATACGAATGGTGAGGATCTCATTGTTTCGTCTCCCCACACCGACGAGCGCCAAGTGGTGTGCCTTGGGAATTCAAATGATAATCCACCAAGCAAACTAACTCTTGAGCCACCACTTGGTAAATCAGAATTGCCTTGCCCTGCTGACTCCAAAACCATCTAGAACTTTGAATAGGAATAATGGGATCCCACTCAGATAGACTACACTACTTCCTTAGCTTAAAGCCGACCTCAGACTAGACCACCAATTCTGAACTTGGCCTTGGCCTCGAAAGTGGGGGCATGTGATATTCCCTAAATTATTTGCTTTAATCATCACTTGACATGTAAAACCCTTGGAGGGCAACTTCATCTTTTCACAAGCATCAAGGGAATTTGTGGCATTTCACCCCAACCCTAATGGAAAGCCCTCCTCGGGGCATTACAATAGTGACTGAATTCAGGCTCATTAAATGCCAAAGTAATGCCCAATCTCGTGGTCCCAACTTTAGTGAAGCTGGCCATCACTGCAACCCGATGTGCGGAACTGTTACAAGGTGCCTAGGACACCACAATTAATGGGGCCTCAGTTATAATTGGGGCGAGAAGCCGTAGGTACCTATCTTATGCTCTCTTGGACTTTTATTCTTGCTCTTGTTCACCTTAGATATTCAGTCACCTTGACTAAATCGTGGCCGTTTTTCAAAAAAACAGTGCCACGTCGGATCCACATAAGCGTTGAGACCCCACCAATGTATGAAATGCCAAATTTGGTGTTTCATGGTGAACCATTTCCCCAATGGTTGACTGATGTATATCCTATGTGGTGCTTACCTGTCAGCACAAACATGAAAAACGATAATGAAAATCATCTTACCAAATAGTATAGTGTTGCTCACAGACTACGTGATAGAAGCATTTTTTTATGAAAAACGAATCTTGAAAACATGGGCGTTTTTCTTGAAAATTGATCCCAAAAAATGCCCACTTTTCCAAACACTATGTAACTTAACCATCAAAGTCATCACCCCTAAGGCCTCTAACGTCTTTTTGGGCTTGCAGGTGGGACCTTCGATCAAATCAGCTTGATAGTTTCCAAATTATATTCATTACCATTTTTAGTAACATGAATAATAATAATAATAATAATAATAATGGGATAAAACAAAGCCATTAATACTTTGGTTTCTCTCCAATTCAAATAAAGTTTGATTACCTAAAAGTTATTTACTTGGCCCTATTAAAATTTTTTAGATATGATACTGTTGTACAACTCTCTATATAGATGCAGCATATCTGCATGTGAGCTCTAATTTTTCGGAAGATCATTAATGAGCGGTTTGGTGGGGAGCAATTACGCCTTCTGCGGAAAATATCACATGAAACTATGGAAAGTTAAAAAAAATAATAACATATGGATGCCATAGTTCTTGTCATCATATTCATTGATTTTTTGACTCCTTTGATCATAGTGTTTTAATAAAAGTAAGGATATTCTCAAGGGTAAATCTATGATGCAGATAAGGTATGATTGGAAAACAACTTTGGCCCATCAAAACCCCACGAATTTGATGAGTACCTTAGTTACCATTATTATGATATCGGTTAATTGATTATTAGCTTTTCCACTATCATAATGAAACCCTATTTTAAAACCTCTATATTAAAAGCTTCCCTTTTCAAAAGATGTTTAAAACTTCCCCAACTTTCAGATATGCTAAAGAACAATTTGTAAGAGGGTTTTGTAAATTGTATACATTTTATCGATGTTACGTTTTCTTGTATATAATCTAGACAAAAATAACTCTTAACTCACTTATTGATTGTCGTCATCTCATCTATTTTTATTGTGACAAAAATACCCCTGGTACATGCTAACCATCCTTGTCACCTATCTAATTAAAAAACTCTGCAATTAATTTGACCAATTTATTCAAAGCAGTACTACATCAGAATAAGGAAGCAGTTATGTACATTAATTTGTTTCTGTCCAAATACAAATATTAAATTGAATTGTCTAATAATGACAGATATATAAACATGGACCATAACCCTCCATTAAATGTACTGAAAAATAATAATTACCTCCATTTAATGGGTTTGGTGTGTTCCATGACATTTTGTTAATTTAAGAGAATTTCTTGAAGTATCTATAAGTTTAGTTAATTAATTAACTCTATTTAGCATCTCTTAATATTTTGTCAAAATCTGTACACATGTGACTTCACGTGACGTATAATTTTTTTTAAAACCCAATATTACCCTCCATTCCTCGTCTTTTCGCAGAAATTGTAAATTGTAAATGAATAACAAATATTGGAAATGAATAACCAATATTACCCAATATTACACAGAAATTGTAAATGAATAACAAAAATACAGGAAAATTTATAGATTGTAGAAAATAGAAAAATGTAAAAGAACAAAAATTATAAACAAATATTGGAAATTATAACAAAACACTAAAAATGCAAAAAAAAAATAAGAAAATTGAAAAATGTAAAAGAACAAAAATTATAAAAAAATATTGGAAATTATAACAAAACACTAAAAATGCAAAAAAAAAAAAGAAAATTGAAAACTAAAAATGACCATTTTTCTCTAACTCACCATTCAAGGGTAATTTGGTCATGAAAATTGTTATTTATGCTGACATGGATACCTCTATTAAGAAGCATTAACGGTGCACTAACGGAAGGCGAGTTTTGAAAAATAAAAACTTACTGACATGGTGAGTTTTAGACATTTTGAAAAGTTATGGTGCGTTTAAGAGAAATGTTGAAAACTCATGGTAAGTTTTAGATAATTTCCCTTAAAAAAAAAACTTTAGATGGTATAGGAATTTTTATTTTTTGATAATTAAAAATACACATTAACTAAGCAAGAAAATAACAAATATATAAAGTACTAACCAGTAACCAGACGGCGGCTTATACCAATAGTGACAAATATCATTAAGGCTATATTTGGTTTGAAGGAAAAAGTAGGGAAAGAGAGGGAAATGTAGGGAAACCTTTACAAAACCTGTATAGGTTTTCTTACCTTTCCCCTCCTTTCCCAATATTTTCCTTCAAACCAAACATAACCTAAAGGTTTTAGCTTACGGTGCCAAAACATGAGCAGCTCTAGTCAACGAACTAGATTTATATACAAATTTTACAAAATTTAAAGTCTTAAATAAGAAACAAAATCCCATCTATATTTCTAGCAAATTTCCAGGGTAAAAGGATATAGTAATAAGCCATAAGTACCAAAAAAACAGTAGCTGAAAATGTAAGATAATAAAAGAGAAATTTTATGAGAGAGAGAGAGCATATTTTAGAAAATTGGGACCTAACATGGAAATCGGATTTCCACCTCACAACACTTACTGCATTATAAACATCACCCTGCAGGGGTGATAGAAGTTAAGTTAAAATATGCAAAAATAGAAAAATAAAGAAAAAAGCTTAGAAAGAATGAGAGAAAATACTGACGTGGATAACTACATTTTAAATCAATTTATTTTCTCACTTGACGTGATATAACCAATCAACCAGTAATATAAAAAATTGATAATAAAATAAAGGGTTTCTTGCAGATAAGGGCAAATTTTTGCCTGAATATCAATAAAAAGTAAAATTTTTATAAAATAAGATAATTTTTTTAGAAAAATATCAAAAAAAGGGCAGGAATACTGTTCATCGTCTTCTCTGCCTCCGTATTCATGCGAAGAAAGTGTGCGATGGTTCCACTCTACTTTTATGTTTCATGGTGTTAGTTGTTTCTCGATAAATCCATAAGGAAGAAAAGATGTTAATTAGGCAATCTTCATCTGTCGCTGCGAGCCACAACTACCCAAATGAATGGTCAGAACAAATTCAGTGGATGGTTGGTGGTGCCATTGACTTGTTTCTGCCGATTCATAGAATCACAGTTCTGAGCTCTATGCTATGGATCAAGAGGGTTCGAATGAGAGATGTCATGGCCACAGCTTGAACTTCAATGCACCACTTCTATCAACAAGGCGTCTGACGGCAACTGGTTCCATCGATATAGATGCAAATGCAAATCCCCGAGGAATTGCTCGCGATATAAGTAAAAGGATCCCATTTTCATGGGAGAGATCTCCTGGAATGCCCAAAGACATTGAGAAAAGCGGCCTCCTTGCTGAGAGCCCACCACCTCCCAAGCTCCCATCGGGCCGATGGCGTCCTCCGGCGAAAGTGGCCTGCGATGATGATGATGATGACGATAAACTTGTCGACGACAACAACGATGATGAAGATGATAATTCAACAGACTGTGATGACGATACTGACACCGACGACGATGAGGTTTTGTCATCAGATGTAATAGACGACAATTTCTCGTTATCAGAGTCCATAGATATTGTTGATGGCATGAACCTTGGGGTGCGTGGATTGGAGCATGAAGGTTTAGAGATGGTGGAGTCTAGAGGAAATCACTCACCGAGTTTCATAATATGCCCTTTTCTCCCGGCAGCAGATGCCTTGGCTTCTTCTTACTCAATTTCTTCAAAGAAGAAAATGCATAAGAGGGTTCCTTCTTCTTCTGCCGACCATTTCTCAAGTGATGATGATGATGATGAGTTGATCAGTGATATTCAAGTCCCAGAAAATAGAAAGATTTATTCATCCCCGAGGTACACTGGCACGATCGTATACACCTTCCAAGGCGTGTGGGCTTGCACCCTTCTTCCCTTGCGCATGAATCACACACTCTGCGGATTGAAGAGCCCTATCGGCATGGCTCGCCCAGTTCCAAATTTGATGGCAGTTTCAGACGAACACGAATTGCTTCGACCCAAGGAAGGTGGTGGTACGGTTGATTCATCATTCATGCCAAAATATAAATCCAAATAGGGTTTATTACAGATAAGGTTCATGGAAAAGTAGAGTGGAACCATCTCACACATTTCTTCGCATGAATACAGAGGCAGAGAAAACGATGAACAGTATTCTTGCCTTTTTTTGATATTTTTGTAAAAAAGTTATCTTATTTTACTTATTTTATAAAAATATTACTTTTTATTAATATTCAGTACAAAAAATTGCTTTTTTCTAAATCCTAAAATAAATCAAGTGATATTTATCAAAATTCGCCGTGGGACTTGATTAGTCAAAGCCATTTCGGTATCATGTCTTTTCGGTTTCATACGTTCTTTTTTTTTTTTCTCTCTTTCTGACTTTCTCACATTTTTTTAATCAGCAAATGCAATTACTCCGCTGTCTACCATAAGCAAAAAGCACGTGCATGCACCTCGTTTATATATAAATAAAAAAGTTGACTCAGAAAACGACCAATTTTTTATTTTTTCTAAAATATAAAATTTGTTATCCCATTTTTTTTTTCAACCTGAAACTAAAATAGCTTTCTAGTTTCTATATAGAACACGTCATTGCAAAGTCTGAATGCATGTGTTCGAAGAAGAGTCCGATGAATCGGAAACTCTGATTCACTTTCTTGGGCTGATTCTGCAATGATAGTGGACACTCCACACAGCATTACGACAACAGGGTCTCTCTCCTACTTCAACTCCACCAATCGGTGGTACGATTAATGGACGGACGACAGGAAACGATCAAGAACCCTCGAATCGAAAGATCAAAGACGAATTCGGTTGTCTTGTCGTTGTCGTCCTCTCTTGGTCTACGTGAGCAATGACGATATGTCAGACTATTACGAACGAACACGACGATACCTGTGTGCATATATAAAGAACAAAGATTCGCGCTCGCTTGACTTGTCTTCCTTCCTTGGTTTCCGAGCTTGCTCCCGCCGCTGCGGAAACCGGAGAGGAGGAGATTTCGATTCTTCTTCTCCTTCTCTTTCAGCAACTGTGCAATACTGCAATTTTCTCTGTTTCCTGTTTTTATTGTTTCACCTGTTCCCGGGAGCTTCGGGTTTCGTGAGGTGTTGTCTAATTTGTTTTACTTTGATCTACGTGGACGCTGAGTCATTTGATTAGAGGGTTCGAAACCTTGCCTCCCTGACCGACTGCTTCAGAGTCTTCAGTAGGTTCATTCTTTTGGATTTTTTTTTTTGAATAATGTGAAATTTCAATTGCGGTTGTTTTATGTGAACATTTTCAGTTAGATTTTTCTGTTCATGTATGTGTTAAGCATATTTTTGTTATGGATTTTTCTGTTTGCCTGTATTTGAATATCATCTCGGATTTCTCTTGTTTATTTTCGTTCTGAGAGTCGTCTCTCACCTTGATGCTTAACTGATTAAAATCACTAGTTAATCTGGTCAAAGTGGGTGTTGAGGACTTGAGGTTGTTATTGGATTTTTCAAGTTCTGTTCACCCGGAGCTCGTCTAAGTTTGTTTCATCCCTTTCGTTTTAGTGAAGCCCAACTAAATAACTAAATATTGTTTTTAAATCAAGTGAACAAATACTAGACTGAACTGTACTTGAAAACAAATTTATAGGACCATGATTATGGATTACTTTTCCGGATTTTCTTTGTTTATTCATTCATTTATTCTTTTTCTGCGATGCTGCAAAGCTCATTACCAGATTAGTAACTCACCTTCTGAATGAGTGTTGTCTAGGATTTTCTGTTGTATTTGATGCTAATGCTGCTCTTCCGCAGGAACAACATCCCATTAGCCGTTAGAAATTACTACTCTTGGAGCAAGAGCAAGGGAAAAAAAAAGGAGCATCTAGAAAATTTGAGGTGTGTGATCACCTGGAGTTCATTTGCCTCCATCAATTTTCTTTTCCTTTTAGTGCCTGGTTCTTTCTCACTTTCTATAACCTCTATAGAGAAATGCAAAATTCCCCAAACAGTTACATTTTGGGCCAAGTCGAAAGAAGTCATTCTTTTTGGAAACTGAGGTTGCTCCTCATTCACCTCTGTTCTTCAACAAGTAATTATTGAGTGAAACCATTTACAAGCATAACATAGAAGTTCTTATTTTACCATCTATAAATCTCCACGTATAGTCGCATTAAAATAATTTCTTTCATTTCTTTTTTTCCCTAAATTTCTCTTTTGCATTTGAATGTAGGGTGTGAAGGGCAAAGAGATAAAGAAGTATGGAGGATCTCTGGACTGTTTTCTGTGGGAAATCCAATTGCTCATATGGTGGTGGAAAACCTTGCAGTTCTCTTTTGGTGTCCATCTTCCATCCTTCATCATGTATCAACCACATCTTGGTCATTCTTGTTGATATTGTGCTTCTGTTATTGTTCCTATTTAACTTTGTTTGCAAGACATTGCCAAGATCAATTCATCCTTCCACCCGCTTTCAAGGCATTCACTCTTTACAGATATCTTCCACAATTTTCAATGGTGGATTGGGATTAGTTTACCTGAGTTACGGGGTCTGGAGCTTAGAAGAGACATTGAGAAATGCACATACTATTTTACCTCCGCATCCATGGCTAGTGGTGTTATTTCATGGATTCACATGGTTGCTACTGTGTTTAACCATGAGTTTTAAGGGAACACAACTTCCACAGGCCTTTTTGAGGCTCTGGTCCATAATTGCTTCCTTTCTGGCAGGATTTCTAACTGTTTCGTCTCTAGTTGTTGCAATTGTAGGCAAAGAAGTATCTGTTAAAACATTGCTAGATGTATTATCCTTTCCAGGGGCAATTCTGTTTCTGCTATGTGCTTATAAAGGTTATGACTATGGGGAAGCTGTTCAAATGGACAGCATGGATTCTCTATATGAACCCTTGAATGATGAAAACAAAGGCATTAGTAAATTTGATTCCTGTGGCAATGTGACTCCCTTTTCCAAAGCTGGATTTTTCAGTAGGATGTCATTTTGGTGGTTGAATCCCTTGATGAAGAAAGGTAAGGAGAAAACACTTCAAGATAAAGACATACCTCAATTGCGTGAGTTAGATAGAGCAGAAACAGGTTATTTGATCTTCTTGGAACAATTGAACAAACAAAAACAAAGTAGACCATGTACTCCACCTTCAATTTTGTGGGCGATAGTGTATTGCCAATGGAGAGAGATTTTAATTTCTGGGTTCTTTGCATTGTTAAAAGTACTTACCTTGTCTGCTGGTCCTCTGCTTCTTAATGCTTTCATCGAGGTTGCTGAAGGAAAAGCAGCCTTCAAATATGAGGGCTATATATTGGCAGCATTACTATTCTTTGCAAAATGCTTAGAGTCCTTATCCCAGAGGCAATGGTACTTCCGTACAAGATTAATAGGCCTTCAAATAAGGTCTTTGCTTTCAGCAGCTATTTACAGAAAGCAACTGAAACTCTCAAATGCAGAGAAAATAATGCATTCATCCGGAGAGATCACAAATTATGTCACTGTAGATGCTTATAGGATAGGTGAATTCCCATTTTGGTTCCATCAGACATGGACAACAAGCCTTCAGCTGTGCATTGCATTAGTGATTCTTTTCCGTGCTGTCGGACTTGCAACAATTGCAGCCATGATTGTAATAGTACTTACCGTGCTTTGCAATGCTCCCCTGGCTAAACTGCAGCACAAGTTCCAGTCTAAGCTCATGGTGGCACAAGATGAGAGGATGAAACTTAGTTCTGAAGCTCTTGTTAACATGAAAGTATTGAAACTTTATGCATGGGAGACCCACTTCAAGAATGCAATAGAAAGTTTGAGGAAGGAGGAAATTAAATGGCTATCAGCAGTTCAACTGCGAAAAGCATATAATACCTTTCTCTTTTGGTCATCTCCTGTATTGGTCTCGGCTGCTACTTTTGGAACATGCTATCTCCTTGGAACTCCTCTCTATGCTAGTAATGTTTTTACATTTATAGCAACTTTACGGCTTGTTCAGGACCCTGTTAGAACAATCCCTGATGTTATTGGAGTTGTCATTCAAGCAAAGGTTGCATTTGAACGGATTATGAAGTTTCTTGAGGCACCTGAGCTACATAGTGGAAATGCCAGAAAGAAGTGCAATGTGGAGGAGCTTGAGTACTCAATTTTTGTCAAGGTGACCAATCTTTCATGGGAAGAGAATCTATTGAAGCCCACACTAACAAACATTAATTTAAAGGTTAAACCTGGTGAAAAAGTGGCTATATGTGGAGAAGTTGGCTCAGGAAAATCTACCCTTCTAGCAGCAATTCTTGGAGAGGTTCCCAGTATTGAGGGCACAGTAAGTTTGTATTCACCTTCTCTTTTATGTAGTTGAGAAAGAAATGCCTTAATTTTACAATGATTCTCTGTTGCATGCATCTTACCTTGCAACATCACTTCTTTGTAAAGGTGTACTCTGATACACATGGTAAAATAGCCCAATTTCTTCATACGTCTATTGATTCCATGTTCTATTTAAGTTACATCACATACTGATCTCCAATATAAGCTATGACATACTTGTATTAATAACTAATAAACAAATAATGCTTTTCTATCCTCAATAAAGCAGGGGGTGAAACTTGGGTGGGCTCAGGTTAAGCATTTATTAAAATTTGAATGGGCCTGGCCTGAGGGCCTGGGCCCGATGCAGTGGAAATTCTTCAAATCAGTTACTGACTTGCACCCGTACACCTCATTGATGTATATAATTTTAACTCAAATATATGATGAGATTAGTAGCATATTTTATTCTGTTTTGTATTTCCTATGTTGGAAGAGTTGTCTGCTCACTTAATATGTTTTCCAATTAACCCACAGACTATGCTCAATAATCATTTATTAGTAATTTGGCTCCTTTTTCTTCATTCAACAGATTCAAGCTTATGGAAAGATTGCATATGTCTCTCAGAATGCATGGATCCAAACAGGAACAATACAAGAAAACATCTTATTTGGGTCCATCATGGATAGGAAAAGATACCAAGAAGTACTTGAGAAATGTTCCTTGGTAAAGGACCTTGAGTTGCTACCCTTTGGTGATCTCACTGAAATAGGACAAAGAGGAGTTAATCTAAGTGGTGGTCAGAAGCAACGTATTCAACTTGCTCGTGCATTGTATCATGATGCTGATATTTATCTCTTGGATGATCCATTCAGTGCTGTTGATGCACATACTGCCACTAGCCTGTTTAATGTAATAACATATTCTCTTGTCCATGCAGTTTATACTTCTATGGCTACTATCCATATTGAAATCTCATTTGGGTTGTTGCAGGAATATGTAATGGGAGCTCTGTCAGGGAAAACTGTCTTACTTGTGACCCACCAAGTTGATTTTCTCCCTGCATTTGAATCTGTTTTGGTTAGTTGACAATTTAACACCTGTGTTTGTCTTCCTTGTCTAAAAATGAAGAAAATGCTTATAATACCTCGTTACCTTTTATAATAAATTCAAGTTTACCTATTTTTGGAACTATGCATTTCTAGCACCATCTTTTTTAGTTGCAAGAAACCTTGCTAACCTAAAAATTTTGTTATTTTCTCTGGTCAAGAATGAAACATTTGTATTCATCAAAAGAGCTAATTGGCAATCATCTAATTGGTTAAAACTAGTTCTTTCCAACCAATGCAGCTTAACCCCAAAGCACTACCAGTCAGACTTTCCTTGAAGTATCAAACAAGGCATTACTTGCAGTAGAAAACTGTTTGTTAAAATTACCTTGGAAATTAAGTTAGATATTTGTATGGGAGGGTACATATATGTGATTGAAATTTCTTTCATTGTGGATCTTTAGTAAATTGAATCAGGGGCTTAAAATTCATCATTCAATCTTCCCCCTTTTCTCTCTTAATCTTTGACAGGAGAAATGCTACCAATTATCAGAAATCACTAAATTTCCTGACCTAATAAAGCCATTTAGTTTTCCAAATTGCTTTTGCATATTGTGTTGATTTTAGTAGCAGTAGTAACAACTTTTAAACGGAGGCTACAATAATTAGGAATGTGTTTTTTTACAAATAAATTAATTTCCTTGATCTATTCATAAAGGAAGCTTTCATATCCTTCCCAACAGTATGATATTATTAACTTTATGCAATTATTTTGTAATGAACTAATCATTTTCACAGTTAATGTCAGATGGGAAAATACTACATGCTGCACCTTATGACCAGTTATTAGCCTGTAGTCAAGAATTTCGGGGCCTTGTAAATGCACACAAGGAAACTGCTGGTTCTGAAAGGCTAACTGGGGTTCTTTCTCCCCGGAGACATGAAATCTCTGCTAAAGATATTAAGAAGTCTCATACAAAGAAACAGTTCAAAGAACCAGTAGGAGATCAGTTGATTAAGCAAGAAGAGAGAGAAGCAGGAGATACGGGCTTTAAGCCTTACATAATGTATCTAAATCAGAACAAGGGATTCTTTTACTTCTCCTTCGCAGGTCTCCTTCACCTTGCATTTGTGACTGGACAGATATTACAGAACTCATGGATGGCTGCTAACGTTCAGAACCCTCATGTTAGCAGATTGCAGCTAATATTAGTGTACTTGGCGATTGGATTTGCCTCGGCATTCGTTTTGCTTATTAGATCTCTTTCTGTTGTTGTTTTGGGTATCCAGTCGTCTAAGTCCTTGTTTTCTCAGCTACTGAATTCCCTTTTCCGTGCACCCATGTCCTTTTATGACTCTACACCTCTGGGAAGGATATTGAGTCGGGTAAGTATTTCTAACACCAAATTCCATTGCAATTTATGCCTGAGGAGATTTCATCTAAATTAACTTTATTCTTCTTTTATAGGTTGCTTCTGATTTGAGTATCGTTGACCTTGATGTACCATTCAGTTTAGTCTTTTCACTTGCGTCTACTATAAATTCATATGCCAATCTAGGAGTGCTGGCTGTTGTTACCTGGCAAGTCCTGTTTGTCTCTATACCAATGGTTTATCTGACAATACGCCTACAGGTAATAATATATTAATTAACAAGTGCAGTGATAAGATAAATATTTTATAGAAATTTTTAGGATCTCAAGATATAGTCTTCCTTGCCTCTTCATTATCCAGGAAATGTAGGAATCATCATACCTTCCATTGTATGCAGTGTTTTAAAAGGCGTGGGAGGCGTACGCCTGGAGGTGCGCCTCCAGGCAAGGTGCTCCCAAAATGCCCTGAGGCGTATGCCAGAGGTGCTGACACCTCTGAGGCGTACGCCTCTTGTGCTTTTTTCATGAGGCGTGCTAGAGGTGTACGCCTCATGCGCCTCATGCACATCTGATATAAAAAGACAAAAAAAAAAGAAAAAAGAAAAAAAAGGAAAGGAAAGGAAAGGAAAGGAAAAATAGGGAAGAGAAAGAAAAAGAAAGAGAAGAAAAAAAGAGAAAAGGAAAGGAAAGGGAAGGTAAGAAAAGATAAGGGGAAAGAAAGTGGCTATGCATCTTTATTCTTCTTAATATAAAAGATTTTTATTAAAAATAAAGAAAAAATGAGATCCCCCCTTCCTCTTCATCCTCATCCTAACCCCCTCCTCTTAAGGAGGCTTACGCCTCCTTGTGTTCGAGAGGCTTATGCCCCTTGCGTTCTGAATTACGCCTCACACCTCTAGGTAGTGGAATGCCTCGCGTCACACCTCCGCGATTTAAAACATTTTGTATGCTATAAAACTTAAAAGTTTTGGAGATTTTTAAGCACATAATGTCTGAGTTGCTTAGATATAAAAAGTGATTTCCAGTGGCAAGTATTCATCCCCAGTCAGATTTTCTGAACCACCAAATCTATTATTATACTACTGGGTAAATGTTAAGAGTTTGTGCCATGTGTTCACTACTTGCTTTAAGTGTGGCAGAAGCAGGAAAAACTGTATCTATCTTCCCATCCTCCTGTTGGAGCATGAGTGCTCTACAGGTTGATTTTGTTATTTTTATATCCTTCTCATGATAACTTAATTTTTAATCCATAGAGATACTACTATGCTTCTGCGAAAGAATTAATGCGAATAAATGGCACAACCAAGTCTTTGGTAGCGAACCATCTAGCAGAATCCATAGCAGGAGCTATGACAATCAGAGCTTTTGAGGAGGAAGAACGTTTTTTTTCCAAGAATCTGGACCTCATTGACATAAATGCCAGTCCATTCTTTCACAACTTTTCAGCAAATGAGTGGTTGATTCAGCGTTTAGAAACACTGAGTGCCACTGTCCTTTCTGCCTCAGCACTTGCCATGGTTTTGCTTCCTCCGGGAACTTTTGGCTCTGGTAAGCATCTGTTGTCTTCCCCTTCATATATCTTGCCTATTTACTTGATTTTGTAATTTGCCACTGGTATATAAGCATGTATTATTGATATCTATATAAACCTTTCAATATCAGTAGAAGTGTTATTTAAGTGGAAACTAATATAAAAACCACAGATCCCTGCATGTATGGTTGTTTGCTGAACCATTTGATTACCAACTTCTAACTACAGGATTTATTGGAATGGCACTATCTTATGGTCTCTCAATGAACATGGCCCTTGTTTTCTCCATTCAAAATCAGTGCATACTGTCAAATTACATAATTTCTGTAGAGAGACTAGACCAGTACATGCACATTCCCAGTGAAGCACCTGAAATCATAGAAGAAAACCAGCCCCCACACAATTGGCCTGCTGTTGGTAGAGTGGAGATCTGTGACCTGAAGGTATATTGTGTGTTTTGTGAGCATTGTGCTCATTCTTCCTCTTCACTATTAATTGAAAACTAATCCATTGGAGAAATTAATATTGAGCAGATAAGATATAGGCCAGATTCTCCACTTGTTCTTCATGGGATCAGTTGCACTTTTGAAGGTGGGGATAAAATTGGAATCGTTGGCAGGACTGGCAGTGGGAAGACAACTCTAATTGGTGCTCTGTTTCGTCTCGTAGAACCAGCAGGAGGAAAAATCGTTATTGATGACATCGACATCTCCACCATTGGGCTTCATGATCTGAGATCACGTTTTGGGATAATACCTCAGGATCCTACTCTTTTTAATGGAACTGTTAGATATAATTTGGATCCTCTATCACAACATACTGATCAGGAAATATGGGAGGTACTATATCTTCTGAGGCTATGTTTGGTAATTTGGTTAAATTTCTCTTCCAAAATAATCATTATTTGGCGAATGATTCCTGAGCCAAAACTAAATCTTTTTTGAAGCTATTTTGTTATTTTCAAAGAATCAATTCTTAGAATGAGTTTTGAGGCCCAGAAATAGGGAATTGGTTCCATCAATTTTCATAAATCCAAACGTAAAAATGATTCTTAGAATCACAAAATTCATCAAAATAATTCCCTTAAAGCATGCAAAGCACAGCCTAATTTGCTGTTGCTCTTAATACTAGTGGTCCTGACACTGGTAATTCACATATTACCATGTTAAATGGTCTTACATGTTCTGGTGCTGAGGATCTAGCAATGCAGGTTGTGTAATGTTTAGATTGGAAAAGTAATTTTTTGGGATCCAGCATTACATCGAAGGATCTATGGTTCCAAGATCAAGGTGTCCAAACACTACAGTTTGTGGGATTCTTCGTGTGAGATCCTGTGAGAACATCTTGTCAAAATTTTGTTTGTTAGTTAAGACCATTTTCCGTATATTGCTTCTGTTTTAATGTAAAAGGGGCAAAAAGTTTTGCCATGAAACATTTTGGCTATATTTCTGCCCCTTCATGCAAAAAATGAAAAAGGTTAGGTCAGTTTCCAGTCCACACCTCCCAACACCCTGGGTAGCCAGGACATTATTGTATAATGTCTCCTTTTGATATTTCTGCCCTTTCTACAGAAAAGATGCTGTATCATCCTTTGCACAATAAATTAAAGGCAGCCATCTGGCAAAGGGAGATATCAAGCTGTAGAGAAAAAATTGCTCAAGACTCCCTTGCTTTCATTTACTTTATCTTGATCAGCCACCTATTTTCTTGTCTTGATGTTTCCAAGTTGGTTGAGTTGGAGTCCGCTGATTTTCTATTAAAAAGTAATTTCAACTTCCTTGTTAACTTTTTATTCAGATGAATTCCAGATTTGATGAAGAAAATCCTACGTAACTCCAGTGCATTGTTGGCATGAATCATCCCTTGCACAGGTTGCCCGTTAAGCTATGCACATGGAGCAATAGGATTTATTAATGTAATAATGATAATGATATTAGCCTAATTGAAGGGCTTGATCATCTCAGAAGTACACAATTGCATAGTTAGTTTTACTTCAACTTAGACATTTGTCCCAAAAGTTACTAGAAATAAAGTTGCCACTTTTATCCTGCTGTTGCTCACTGTTACATCATTTTTATGCCGTTTGAAAGGTTCTCAGAAAATGTCAGCTTCGAGAAGCTGTTCTAGAGAAAGAAGGTGGTCTGGATTCATTGGGTAAGATTTTGAGCATCTAGTCTGCTTTTCCATTTTACCAGGAACTGTAATTTTGTGTTTACAAAGTACAATGGATATTGCAGTTGTAGAAGATGGATCAAACTGGAGCATGGGACAGCGACAGTTATTTTGTTTGGGCCGTGCTCTGTTAAGGAGAAGCAGGATACTGGTTCTTGATGAAGCCACTGCATCAATAGACAATGCAACAGACACCATTCTCCAGAAAACAATAAGGACTGAATTTGCAAATTGCACCGTTATAACGGTGGCTCACAGGATACCCACAGTGATGAATTCCACAATGGTGCTTGCTATCAGTGATGGTGAGTTTCACAACTTCAAACTTTTATAACAGGGAATACTCCCCTTAATATATGTCAGATGCTCTGGTCCTCATTAGGACACGAAACAGAAAATGCTAAGGCTACTCTTTCTCTTTCTCAGGAAAAATAGTGGAGTTTGATGAGCCAAAGAAGTTGATGGAAAGAGAAGGCTCCTTGTTTGGGCAGCTTGTCAAAGAGTATTGGTCTCAGATCTACTGTGCTGCTTTGACTTGAAGCTGTATTTCTGACAAGAAAAGCTTGCAAGGGACTGGTCCCAGAGAAAACAAATGAAGGGGAACTACCTGGAATTTTTCTTGATGTATAATATATCATCTAAAATGCAAAATCAGTTAGGTTGACAAGGATGAGGATGTAAATTCAAGTGTGAGTGAAGCCACTTTTTAAGAGAGAGAGAGAGAGAGAGAGAGAGAGAGAGGTAATGATCTCAGGTTGTAAAATGTTAGAGCCGGATAAATAGGGTTACTTTAATCTTCTCTTATCTAAAATGAAAAATCAGTTAGGTTGACAAGCATGAGGATGTAAATTCAAGTGTGAGTGAAGCCACTTTTTAAGAGAGAGAGAGCGAGGTAATGATCTCAGGTTGTAAAATGTTAGAGCCGGATAAATAGGGTTACTTTAATCTTCTCTTATTTATTAAGTTGTTTTTTGCCTCTTTGTCTTAGTTTAAGTTACATATTCCCACACTTAATTAGGGGAATAATATTCTTTGAATCAAGTCTCTGCAGTCTAGATCATTATTTTCCTTTCTCTCTTCTTCTTTCTTTTCTCTTTCTTTTTCTTCTTTCTCTTTAAACTAGGACTACAACACAAGGACTAAAGCATTAAAACATGGTATCAAAGCATTGTGAAGAGAGAATACAAGGCTATGATTTCTTTTCTTTCTTTTTAGTTGTGGAGTGAGACAAGGGACTTTAGGAGGTTACGACGACAACCCTATTCCAACAATTTGTGGACTCTTGTCACTATGAGTGATTCAAAAAGACTTTTCCTTGGTCGATTGGTGATGAAGGAAGATTTGGCCCGACCTCGTAATCACTCAACACGTGGCAAAGGCAACAGTTCGGCACAACAGCGCGCCCAAGGCGCAAGCACCGAAGGGAGAAACCAACAGTCCGAACTCCCTACCAGGAGCCCGAACTCCCTACAAAGAGCCCGAACTCTCCCTTAGGCCCCGAGCCTCGCACAAGGCAATGACCCGAACTGGTCCGCCCCATGGCAGTTCGAGACACACCTCTATCCGAACTCAAGACTTCACCTCGCTCACCACTCCAGTACTTCGCTTCCAGGACGCCAAACTGAACGAACCGTACCACACCTAACACCGAGGAAATCCGTACCCAGGAGCACTGCACCTGACCGACTTGGGATCTGACGCCTGACAGCCGCACTCCAACGACCACCTGCCACCGCCACCTGCTACCGCCGTCTCCAGTTGTAGAGACGGCTCCGACAAAGAGAGCAGTGGCGGTTTTGTCCCAGCAGAGGTTATGACACCTGAACTGGCAGGAGTGCAGGGATAATCATACCCGACCTGACAGAAGCTTAGGAGTAAGTGCGCGAGGTGGTTATAAAAGGCTCCCTACCCCCCCAAAACGAGGTATGTGAACTTTGCGCCATCTGGTTTTATCTTGCCTTTGAGAGAATTCTAACTTGAGCTTCGGAGCAATCTCACTGGGTTCCCCCCAGTGTTTCCTCATCTTCTCCGTTTCAGGTTCCCTGTAGCTCCGTTCAGAGGCAAGGTCGTTGACAGCTAGGACCAGCCGGATTGCGCACCATCAATTGGCGCCTTCTGTGGGAACGCTTCTAAAAGCCTCCCTCTAAAATTCTCATAACGTCCTCTTCTTCCAAAAACCCCAACACTCATGGCTTCTTCTAGCAATGTCGGACGTGGCATAGAGACGAACGCCACCGGGGAACAACTCCAAGTCATTGTGGTGTGCACCGGACAGTTCACCATCCCCCTTCCGGTGGATGGGATCCCCTGCTTGAATGCGCCACAAACAGTGGCGCCCGTAAACCTTCCTGCCATGAACGTCCCTCTTCCACTCCCTATCGAAACAACTTTTGCTGAACCAACTGTTGTTCCCTCGCAACCCGCCAGAGCCAGTTTGATGACTTGATGCAATGCATACGGGCAATGCAAGCCCAAATGCAACAATTCCAGCAGCATCAACTCCAGCAACACTAGGTACTACACCACCTCTCTCAACATCACTATCAGCAACAGTTCCCCCAACTACCCCTGAGCTAGTCACTGCTTCCACCTCGGCAACTTGCTCCGAAGCCGGTTAAGGCCTCCCCTCAGGGCGGACACCCTCACCGAGGAGAAGTCTCCCAGCTCCAGAACCCCCCTAACAGCCAGGCCTCATCCCCAGGCCGGTCGGGAACCTCACCCGCAAAGTCGGTACCTCGATGCTCCAAGCCTGAGTTCCCACTCACAGAGAACCGATTCAGCACCCTAGCAGCAGACTACCAACATTCTGGGCCCATCGAGCTCGGCAACACAGAAGCCAGCAGCGCCAGCACCAGGCCCACTCAACGAAGGCGTCGGCGAAGTCGCCGAACTGCCACCCGTGTCCTACCCGAGCTCAGAGGTAAGGAAGAGACGAGCTCGGATGAGGTAAAAGCTGCCCCAATTCTCTCAGTTCCTTCCCCCCTCGCATCAGAACTCCTGGCAGTCCCCATGCCCAGAGACTTCAAGCTCCCACCTTTGGACAAGTATGATGGGTCCTTTGACCCCAAC